CAGAGACTATGTCACCCCAAGAGACTATGTCACCCCCAAAGACTATGTCACCCCCACAGACTATGTCACCCCCAAAGACTATGTCACCCCCAAGACTATGTCACCCCCACAGACTATGTCACCCCCAAAGACTATGTCACCCCCACAGGCCAACCACACCATGGTGCTGCCCGGTGCGTGGCGGGAACTATCCAGGACTGTGGAGCCTCTCTCCCTGTCCACGGCCTCCCCAGCCACGGTGGCCACGGACGGCCTGCGGCACACTCTGGCCTCCACGGTGGCGGGACTGGAGGCCGCCACGGACTACGAGGCCACGGTCAGGGTCAGGAACACGTACGGCTGGTCGGCGCCCTCCCCTGTCTTCTCCTTCTCCACCAAGAAAGGTGGGTCTTGAGGGTGTGAAGGTAACTAGCATTATCAGGGATAAGGAGCTGCACCTCGCTCGTGTTAATCAGTTATCAGGCCCCAGCTGGCTCTCATTAATCAGTATCAGGCATGAGGAGCCATACTTTGGGGTCTCATTAATCCATATCAGGTATAAGGAGCCATATTTGGGGTCTCATTAATCAATATCAGGTATAAGGAGCCATATTTGGGGTCTCATTAATCAATATCAGGTATAAGGAGCCATATTTGGGGTCTCATTAATCAATATCAGGTATAAGGAGCCATATTTTGGGTCTCATTAATCAATATCAGGTATAAGGAGCCATATTTTGGGTCTCATTAATCAATATCAGGTATAAGGAGCCTTATATGGGGTCTCATTAATCAATATCACGTATAAGGAGCCTTATATGGGGTCTCATTAATCAATATCAGGCATAAGGAACCATATTTGGGGTCTCATTAATCAACATCAGGTATAAGGAGTCATATTTGGGGTCTCATTAATCAATATCAGGTATAAGGAGCCATATTTGGGGTCTCATTAATCAATATCAGGTATAAGGAGCCATATTTGGGGTCTCATTAATCAGTATCAGGTATAAGGAGCCTTATATGGGATCTCATTAATCAATATCAGGTATAAGCAGCCTTATATGGGATCTCATTAATCAATATCAGGTATAAGGAGCCATATTTGGGGTCTCATTAATCAATATCAGGTATAAGGAGCCATATTTGGGGTCTCATTAATCAGTATCAGGTATAAGGAGCCATATTTGGGGTCTCATTAATCAATATCAGGTATAAGGAGCCATATTTAACTCTTATCAATCAGTATAGAGATAGAGCCCAATAGGCTCAGGAACCTGTACACCAGTTGATTGACAGTTGAGAGGCGGGACCAAAGAGCTGAAGCTCAACCCCCGCAAGCACAACTAGGTGAGTACACGCGCTTCTCATCAATCAGTCCCAGGTATAAGCAGCTGTATACACCTGGCTCGCATCAATTTTGGGCTCCCCTTTTAGTTCTTATATATGCCTAACATAGATTGGAAACTATAGATCGATCCCATTGTCTTGCCCGACAAACTGATCCACTAATCAACATCTGAATTTGCAAACCAGTATTTACCCAGGTCTTTTCTTAATCCCAAAGTCCTCCAATTAATATCCAATGTTTCGTTTTCTATCTTGTGTCAATATATTTAATACGGATAAAAATCACTTTTGTTATGGCATTTTTTCCATTTCTACTTTTTAGTTATGCCACTCCTAACTCTTCACCTTTCAAGAGAATGTATGTTAATATACATTCTCTTGAAAACTTAATATACATTCTCTTGAAAACTTAATATACATTCTCTTGAAAACTTAATATACATTCTCTTGAGAACTTAATATACATTCTCTTGAAAACTTAATATACATTCTCTTGAAAACTTAATATACATTCTCTTGAAATCTTAATATACATTCTCTTGAGAACTTAATATACATTCTCTTGAAAACTTAATATACATTCTCTTGGAAACTTAATATACATTCTCTTGAAAACTTAATATACATTCTCTTGGAAACTTAATATACATTCTCTTGAAAACTTTATATACATTCTCTTGAGAACTTAACCTACATTCTCTTGAAGTTTTCAGGAGAATGTAATGTTAACTTTCGCAATACCTCTTCACATGAAGGTTTCTAATTAATGGAGTTAACTTTGTCATCCATTGATGTACGCGCTCAAGTGAATTTGTTCATTCCATAGTATGTCCAACCACTTGGGCTGGACGGTAGAGCGACGGTCTCGCTTCATGCAGGTCGGCGTTCAATCCTCGACCGTCCACAAGTGGTTGGGCACCATTTCTTTTCTCCGTCCTATCTCAAATCCTTATCCTGACCCCTTCCCTGTGCTATATAGTCGTAATGGCTTGGTGCTTTCCATAGTACAGCGACCAAAATTGAATTGCATAAGTTAAATGGGGCCTAACAAGAGCAATATATAGATGAAGAACAACATTTTGCTTTTGTGAGTCATTGTGTCCCGGGACAGGCAGCCAGAGTGTTTATATAAACATGTTAGGCTTATATTGAGGTCCCCCCCCCCTCTCCCAGGGTCGAATTACTGACCCTCCCCCAAGATGCAACCCCCCCCCCCCACAACAGGCTGACTAACTCCTCAGTACCTACTTGCTGCTAGGTGAACAGGTGCATTAGGTGATATGAAACGTGCCCTACTATATCTATCCCACCCGGGACTCGAACCCCAGAATTCTCGATTGTGAATCGTGAAGGAACCCGACAGTACTTCTGGGACTCTTCATATCAATTATTTTATTGCTAATGCTTTTATAAATAAATCCCAGTGCCTTATTCCTAATATTTATGCACTGATTTTTTGGGCATTAAATTCTTACTAGTCTTGACCCCAGATCTGTGTCGCATTCAGACATCACAATCTCAACACTACCCATCTTATATCAGATAACTCTATCATCATTATCTATCCTCGGAACCCTACATATATTTCACCATTAAACTGCAACTACCAATCTCTCGTTAATTCTAAAGTTTATTTAGATCCTGTTGAAGTGATTCTGAGTGTTCTCAGAAAGTATTTCCCCTTCAATATGTATATGAATATATATGTATATCCTACATCAGAGTTGTACCAGTTCCAAAAGACAATAGTTTGGTATGCAAATCTTTGGTGCAGGGTGGTGGAATCGAACTATCGTCCTCGGTCACTCCAGTCGAGCGCCTTACCAATGGACCGCGATGTTCTTAAAAGTTTCACCTAAATTCACTAAGTTGTTCTCGTTCATTCGTCACATTATTGTGATTTCATTACTTATTTTTTACCTATTTCTCTCATATACTTTTTCTGCGTAACTCCTTAGCTTCACATTATTTATTAGTAATTACCTCTGTATCTCTGGTGTTACAGTAATGGCGGTGTTGCAGTCGACCAGCGGCACGCAGCCCCAGCTGGTCCCGGCGCCCCACAGCTGGCTCCTCGCCCTCTTCATCACCACCTTCCTTGCCAGGGAGCAGCCAGCTGTTATCTAGGCACAGTCAGCTGTTATCGAGAAACCTAACTACTAATATCTAGAGAACAACCCATCCTCCAAGCATAACAGTACCTATATCTAGTATGGCTGGCTAACAGTACAAAATATGAACTGTTGCAACCCAACCTCCTCCCCCCCCCCCTCTGGAAAAAGTCTACGTTTTGTACAATTAATTTTTCAGAGACGTGAGAAAGGAGGCAAGAATCAAACCTAATTTTTCCTAAGCCTATCATAGTACACATATACACTAAATAATGCCTAAGATTGCTCACTATAGGCCTTGGATAACGTATTTAGGCCTAGAAAGGGTTCGGTTAGGCTGGCTGATTTAAGTTTTGTAAAGCTTAATAATTTGAGAAGGATCCAGCCAATTATACAGTCTATCAACGACTTTTTAAAACTTTCTTACATTTTTATACTTTTTATGTTAAAATGGTTTTGTTGTGAAGTGTGTTCGGTGGACACGGGTCGTGTTCGGTGGACACGGGGTCGTGTTCGGTGTACACGGGTCGTGTTCGGTGTACACGGGTCGTGTTCGGTGGACACGGGTCGTGTTCGGTGGACACGGGTCGTGTTCGGTGTACACGGGTCGTGTTCGGTGGACACAGGTCGTGTTCGGTGTACACGGGTCGTATTTGGTGGACACGGGTCGTGTTCGGTGGACACGGGTCGTGTTCGGTGGACACGGGGTCGTATTCGGTGGACATGGGTTGTGTTCGGTGGACACGGGGTCGTGTTCGGTGGACACGGGTCGTGTTCGGTGGACACGGGGTCGTGTTCGGTGGACACGGGTCGTGTTCGGTGGACACGGGGTCGTGTTCGGTGGACACGGGTCGTGTTCGGTGGACACGGGTCGTGTTCGGTGGCCCCGGGTCGTGTTCGGTGGACACGGGTCGTGTTCGGTGGACACGGGTCGTGTTCGGTGGACACGGGTCGTGTTCGGTGGACACGGGTCGTGTTCGGTGGACACGGGTCGTGTTCGGTGGACACGGGTCGTGTTCGGTGGACACGGGTCGTGTTCGGTGGACACGGGTCGTGTTCGGTGGACACGGGTCGTGTTCGGTGGACACGGGTTGTGTTCGGTGGACGCTGGTTGATATACAGGAAGCCGACGTCAGGGTCAACGGGACTCGCTCAGACAACCTGCCTTAGGGGCCAAAATATGTATATTATAACTGCTGACTAATCAGAAGAATAATATTAGTAAATAATGTAATAATAATAATAAAGTAATAATAATAAAATAATAATAGTAATAGAATAATAATAAAAATAACTGTACTATTATTAATAATAATTTTAATATTTTTTATGTATACATAAAATATATATTACATAAAAGTGACACATATTTACATATAATAAACTGTGGTAGAGTTTATAGGAGTAAAGTGACCACTTTATTATAGGAAGTAGTACGAAATTATACTTATTTCAATATATATCAATAAAATTTTATCATTTTTAGGGGCAAGTGTGGGTGTTGGGATGGGGGGGGGGACGGGCTAGATATTAACCGTCAGAAACTGTTGGGCAGCAGCAGATAAGAAATTATTCCTCCCTATAGTTAGATTAGTAATAATGTCGAAAGAATTATTATTATCATTATTATTATTATTATAGTGTTATATTATTATAGTTATAGTGTTTTATACTTGTTATGATATATCACCCATTATTATTTTGTATTTGTTTGTTCGTTCACTACTGTTTTTATTTCGTGCGTTTGGTAATGTCTTCGTTGACCTGGTGAGTGCTGGTCCACCCTTGCGTGTGTGTGTGTGTGTGTGTGTGGGTGTGTGGGTGTGTGTGTGTGTGTGTGTGTGTGTGTGTGTGTGTGTGTGTGTGTGTGTGTGTGTGTGTGTGTGTGTGTGTGTGTGTGTGTGTGTGTGTGTGTGTGTGTGTGTGTGTGTGTGTGTGTGTGGATGTGTGTGTGTGTGTGAGCACCAGTCATGTTATCTTCGGTGTTTTAAGGTGTGTAAACCTGTAGCTTTGATTACCTTAAATAAAACTTGAGCACCAACTGACTAATAATCTATGCACACACAATTTCTTACGAGTAGTTAATACGTCTTGTGCAATTTTTTATATGGAAACTCTATAAAATGTGTAGTTATGGTTGCTCAATTCACCTGACCGTCTGACTGCTGCAATATTGTCGGGCGACAAGCCTTGGTCTGCATACTGGGCTGGTGTATTGGTGTGTGTTGATACTGTCTGTGTATTGGTCTGTGTACTGGGTGTGGTCTAGCAGCCAGGAGGTGGCTCTGTGGACATGGTGTGGTCACACATCGTGTAGGTAAGCAACACCAAGGCCACCAAGCAACAGCCTGGTGGACCAAACTCTCACAAGTCAAGCCTGGCCTCGGGTCGGGCTTGGGGAGTAGAAGAACTCCCAGAACCCCATCAAGCAGGTATATGTGGGCCTGCGGGCCGCTCCAAGCAACAGCCTGGTGGACCAAACTCTCACAAGTCAAGCCTGGCCTCGGGCCGGGCTGTGGTGGGTATGTGGGCCTGCGGGCCGCTCCAAGCAACAGCCTGGTGGACCAAACTCTCACAAGTCAAGCCTGGCCTCGGGCCGGGCTTGGGGAGTAGAAGAACTCCCAGAACCCCATCAACCAGGTATATGTGGGCCTGCGGGCCGCTCCAAGCAACAGCCTGGTGGACCAAACTCTCACAAGTCGAGCCTGGCCTCGGGCCGGGCTTGGGCAGTAGAAGAACTCCCAGAACCCCATCAACCAGGTATCAACCAGGTAGTTATCGGGCTCGCTGCCCCAGCTACGGAGGGACGCTCTTGTGCAAATCTCTTTAGTGTCTTTAATTGTAATTCTAACGTAAATAATAATAAACAAATTGTAAGAAAAATTATAAGATATATTATTATCCTAAATCATGTCAGTGACTCTGTTTAAGTTCTGTGTTTATTAGCACTATACACACACACACACACACACACACACACACACACACACACACACACACACACACACACACACACACACACACACACACACACACACACACACACACACACACACACACACACACACACACACACACACACACACACACACACACACACACACACACAACTCTAGATGCAACTAAAGCAGTTGGACCAGACAAAGTATCACCGTGGATACTAAAAGAAGCAGGACAGGCCCTCAGCGTGCCTCTGGCAATGATCTTTAATGAGTCACTTATGTCAGGAGAATTGCCCAGTTGCTGGAAGAAGGCAAATGTCGTGCCGATCTTCAAGAAAGGAGATAGGGAGGAGGCACTTAACTACAGACCTGTATCACTGACAAGCATCCCCTGTAAAATACTGGAAAGAATAATTAGGCTACGACTGGTTGCACACCTGGAGAACATTAGGTTTGTGAACAAACATCAACATGGGTTCTGGACAGGGAAATCGTGCCTAACAAACCTTCTGGAATTCTATGATAAAATAACGAGGATAAGACAGGACAGAGATGGTTGGGCAGACTGCATATTTCTGGACTGCCAAAAAGCCTTTGATACAGTACCGCACATGAGACTGCTGTTCAAGCTCGAGAGGCAGGCGGGGGTGGGGGGAAAGGTCCTAGAATGGATAAGGAACTACCTAACAGGAAGGAGCCAAAGAGTTACGGTAAGGGGCGAGAAGTCGGACTGGCGAACAGTAACAAGTGGAGTACCACAAGGATCGGTGCTGGGACCAATTCTATTTCTTGTATATGTTAACGACATGTTTACAGGCGTAGAGTCCTACATGTCGATGTTTGCGGATGATGCAAAGTTGATGAGAAGAGTTGTGACAGATGAGGATTGCAGGATCCTCCAAGAGGACCTGAACAGATTGCAGAGATGGTCAGAGAAATGGCTACTAGAATTCAACACGAGCAAATGTAAAGTTATGGAAATGGGACTAGGAGATAGGAGACCAAAGGGACAGTACACAATGAAGGGGAACAGCCTACCTGTAACGACGCGTGAAAGAGACCTGGGGGTGGACGTAACACCTAATCTATCTCCTGAGGCACATATTAATAGGATAACGACAGCAGCGTACTCTACACTGGCAAAAGTTAGAACATCATTCAGAAACCTAAGTAAGGAGGCATTTAGGGCGCTTTACACTGCCTACGTAAGGCCAGTCTTAGAGTATGCCGCCTCATCATGGAGTCCCCATCTGAAGAAGCATATAATGAAACTGGAAAAGGTTCAGAGGTTTGCAACGAGACTCGTCCCAGAGCTACGAGGGATGGGGTATGAAGAGCGCCTGAGGGAACTGTGCCTTACGACACTAAAAAGAAGAAGGGAGAGGGGGGACATGATAGGAACGTATAAGATACTCAGAGGAATTGACAGAGTGGACATAGACGAAATGTTCACACGGAATAGTAACAGAACGAGAGGACATAGATGGAAGCTTGAAACTCAGATGAGTCACAGAGATGTTAGGAAGTTTTCTTTTAGCGTGAGAGTAGTGGGGAAATGGAATGCACTTCAGGAACAGGTTGTGGAAGCAAATACTATTCATAATTTTAAAACTAGGTATGATAGGGAAATGGGACAGGAGTCATTGCTGTAAACAACCGATGCTCGAAAGGCGGGATCCAAGAGTCAATGCTCGATCCTGCAAGCACATATAGGTGAGTATATAGGTGAGTACACACACACACACACACACACACACACACACACACACACTCACACACACACACACACACACACACACACACACACACACACACACACACACACACACACTCACACACACACACACACACACACACACACACAAAGTTTTCCAGTTTGACTAAACTGGAAAAGGTTCAAAGGTTTGCCACCAGACTAGTACCCGAGCTGAGAGGTATGAGCTACGAGGAGAGACTACGGGAATTAAACCTCACTTCGCTGGAAGACAGAAGAGTTAGGGGGGACATGATCACCACATTCAAGATTCTGAAGGGGATTCATAGGGTAGATAAAGACAGTCTATTTAACACAAGGGGAACACGCACAAGGGGACACAGGTGGAAACTGAGTGCCCAAATGAGCCACAGAGATATTAGAAAGAACTTTTTTAGTGTCAGAGTGGTTGACAAATGGAATGCATTAGGGGGTGATGTGGTGGAGGCTGACTCCATACACAGTTTCAAGTGTAGATATGACAGAGCCCGATAGGCTCATGAATCTGTACACCTGTTGATTGACGGTTGAGAGGCGGGACCAAAGAGCCAGAGCTCAACCCCCGCAAACACAACTAGGTGAGTACAACTAGGTGAGTACACACACACACACACACACACACACACACACACACACACACACACACACACACACACACACACACACACACACACACACACACACACACACACACACACACACACACACACACACACACACACACACACACACACACACACACACACACACACACACACACACACACACACACACACACACACACACACACACACACAGGGGCCTCGTAGCCTGATGGATAGCGCGCAGGACTCGTAATTCTGTGGCGCGGGTACGATTCCCGCACGAGGCAGAAACAAATGGGCAAAGTTTCTTTCACCCTAAGTGCCCCTGTTACCTAGCAGTAAATAGGTACCTGGGAGTTAGTCAGCTGTCACGGGCTGCTTCCTGGGGTGTGTGTGTGTGGTGTGGGGAAAAAAAAAAAGTAGTTAGTAAACAGTTGATTGACAGTTGAGAGGCGGGCCGAAAGAGCAAAGCTCAACCCCCGCAAAAACACAACTAGTAAACACACACACACACACACACACACACACACACACACACACACACACACACACACAAGGGGAGTTGATATCACGCCAGACCTGTCTCCTGCAGCACATATCAAGCGGATAACATCAGCGGCATATGCGAGGCTGGCCAACATACGAACGGCATTCAGAAATTTATGCAAAGAATCATTCAGAACTTTGTATACCACATATGTCAGGCCAATTCTGGAGTATGCAGCCCCATCATGGTGTCCATATCTAGTCAAGGATAAGACTAAACTGGAAAAGGTTCAAAGATTTGTCACCAGACTAGTACCCGAGCTGAGAGGTATGAGCTACGAGGAGAGACTACGGGAATTGAACCTCACTTCGCTGGAAGACAGAAGAGTTAGGGGGGACATGATCACTACATTCAAGATTCTCAAGGGAATTGATAGGGTAGATAAAGACAGGCTATTTAACACAAGGGGCACACGCACAAGGGACACAGGTGGAAACTGAGCGCCCAAATGAGCCACAGAGATATTAGAAAGAACTTTTTTAGTGTCAGAGTGGTTGACAAATGGAATGCATTAGGAAGTGATGTGGTGGAGGCTGACTCCATACACAGTTTCAAGTGTAGATATGATAGAGCCCAATAGGCTCAGGAATCTGTACACCTGTTGATTGACAATTGAGAGGCGGGCCGAAAAGAGCAAAGGTCAACCCCCGCAAACACAACTAGGTGAATACAACTAGGTGAATACAACTAGGTGAATACAACTAGGTGAACACAACTAGGTGAATACAACTAGGTGAATACATACACCTAAATCACCACATAGTCATATAAGAAGAAAAATGTCGGTGAAGGACCAAGTGACAAGACTAAGGAAGACAGAGGGGGCATACACTGAAAGTGACAAGGAAATCTGCGAGGCACTGAATGCCAGTTTCCATGGAGTGTTCACTACCGAGCCTGAGCAGCTCCCATTGTTGGAAGGGGTTACCCTAGATGAAAGACTATCAGATATAGAGGTGACAGCAGAGGAGGTAATGAAACAGTTGACAACTCTAGATGCAACTAAAGCAGTTGGACCAGACAAAGTATCACCGTGGATACTAAAAGAAGCAGCGCAGGCCCTCAGCGTGCCTCTTGCAATGATCTTTAATGAGTCACTTATGTCGGGAGAATTGCCCAGTTGCTGGAAGAAGGCAAATGTCGTGCCGATCTCCAAGAAAGGCGATAGGGAGGAGGCACTTAACTATAGACCTGTATCACTGACAAGCATCCGCTGTAAAATACTGGAAAGAATAATTAGGCTACGACTGGTTGCACACCTGGAGAACATTAGGCTTGTGAAAAAACATCAACATGGGTTCTGGACAGGGAAATCGTGCCTAGCAAATCTTCTGAAATTCTATGATAAAATAACGAGGATAAGACAGGACAGAGATGGTTGGGCAGACTGCATATTTCTGGACTGCCAAAAAGCCTTTGATACAGTACCGCACATGAGACTGCTGTTCAAGCTCGAGAGGCAGGCGGGGGTGGGGGAAAAGGTCGTAGCATGGATAAGGAACTACCTAACAGGAAGGAACCAAAGAGTTGTGGTAAGGGGCGAGAAGTCGGACTGGCGAACAGTAACAAGTGGAGTACCACAAGGATCGGTGCTGGGACCAA